GGCAAAGGGCTCGGTGCCCAGTGCAGCGGCCCCGCTGGGTTGCCGCTGGGGCCCAGGCCCGGTTGACGCTCCCGGACAAGTAGTTCCACGCAGTTTGCACGCGCTTCGGGGGCCACCCGCTGTCGCGCCGCTCGCGACCCCCGAGGCTTGCAATTCCCAGAGAGCCGGCAGGGCCTCCTTTAGCCCACGTTTCTCCGCACTTGTGCTCCTCTGCCACGCGGAGCTTCGTATCTGCCACTTCTAAAGTCCCAGCTTCCAGTCGTGTCGCCAGCCCAGAGCCCCCGCCCCGGAGGGAACTCTGCAGAAAAGGTGAGGCGTGACTGAAAGCCCCCGAGGCCAAACCCTGAGCTTTGCACCCACTCTTCTTGGACAACTCCCTCCACCGCCCCCGCAGCCTGAATAGGGCGTTTCCCTAGAGAAGTTGCTGTTCAAATCCTGACGACCACATGCCAGCGTTCTGACCTCGTGCCGCAGCTTCTGCATCTCCAGAATGAGGCCAATAACCCTCCTCCTAGGATTGTTTTGAAAAGTGAGACACAATGGATGGAAAGCACGCATATCGGTGCCTGGCACTTGGGAAGCGCCTGGGACTGGCTTGGACACCATTTTCCCCACGGTAGAAAATCGCTGAAGGTGGGGAACGATTAGTACCCCTCACTTTCTGCGCTGCCCGAGGGACGCGCTGGCCAAATTAAGTAGAAAGCGACTCCAGACCCTCTGCCCTCAGGTACTGCGGAGGTACTATAGAGAGAGGGTCCAAAATAAAAGGCATAGCTTGGGAGGGGCTGAGGCCCCCACATGGGGGGAGGGACAAGGACAAGGGACGGGCTAGAAGTAGGGGGTGGGGACGGGATGTGGAGGGAAGATAAGGAAGGGCCGAGGATCGGTTAACTTGCAAACGCCAAGTAGGATGTTATCAGCATGTCCCACAGAAGGGAGGCACGCCCCCGCCCTCCGCGGGAGACCTGGAAAGCTCCCTGAGTCTGAGAATCCAGGGAGCCTGAAGTCTTAGGGCCAGTCCAGGCATCAGAAGGGAGAGAACGAAGGAGGAGACAATGTGACAATGATCAGCACATTATGTCCTCTCCAGCCAGAAACACCCAGGAGGGCCAGGAGGAGCAAAGCTGTTTAGCAAGGGTCATCAACCTCCCTGCCCCCACCCCCCCGGCTGCCAGAGATGCCTTCTCAGGAAGAGAGGGAGGAGAGGAGGAAAAAGACAAGGAGTGGAACCCTAGGGACAGAGGGACCTGAGAAAGCTGAGGACCATGCACTAGAGCTGTGGCGTGGTGCCACAACCTGCAGCGTCTAGTGTGTCTGTTGTGCTCCTGGGACTGCCCCTACTGTGAAGAAGGTACAGAGAAAAAGGGGGCATTAACCCCCCAGGTGTGTGTTTTGTACTCTGGTAATCATAGCATTATGGGGGGCCTGAGGCAGAATGATCACAAGTTTGAGCCCAGCCTGGGAAATTTAGCAATTTAGACCTGTCTCAAAAGGGTTTGTGATGTAGTTCAGTGTGAAAGCCCTAGGTTTAATCTCCAGTACCAAAAAGAGGGAAGAAAAGTTCCTGGAAGCCAGGCTTGGTGGTGCACACCTATAATTTCAGAGTAAAAGAAGCTGAGGCAGGATTGTGAGTTCAAGACCAGCCTGGACTACATAGGAAGACCCAGTCTCAAAATTCCAAAAAGAAATTCTACCGATGTGCCAAAGTATAGCTGAGTGGTAAAGCCACTGCCTGGCCTGTGGGAAGATCTTGGGTTAGATCATCATGCCGAAACAAAAATACCACTGGAGGAGTGGTCTCCAGACAGGGAGCTGGTAGCCACAGGTTGGGGAAAGGAGACTGACTTCATCATCATTGTTATTATTGAAGTAAAATACACAGATCATTTTGCAGCTCAGAGCATATGGGTAACATCCTTTTATCACAATCTAGATAAAGGTATACGGAACGTAACTGCCCACCACACTGCTTCAGGCAGCCAGTATTCCAAATTTTGTCAGCACAGCTTAGTTTTGCCTGTTCATGAAGGTCAATTCCTTGGATAGCATGGGATCTACACTTGTGTCTGGCTGGCAATTTTTGCTCAACATAAAATTTATAATATTCCTCCACATTGATGCCCCTACATCTGTAGTTCATTTTCTTTCTTTACTCAATACCATAATTTATTTTTATTCATAGGACATTGGCTCTTTTTTTCAGTATATCTTCTGTCTTTGTCCTGTGTCACCTTTTTTTTCCAAAATAGAAATAGTTTTTTTAAAAAGTTTTTTTGAGACAAGGTCTCACTATGTAGTCGAGAATGACCTGGAATTCACTATGTAGCCCAGGCTGGTCTCAAACTCACAGCAATCCTCCTGCCTCAGCCTCCTGAGTGCTGGGTTTACAGTCATGTGCCACCACACCTGGCCTAAAATACTTTTAAGGAAAGAGAGTTTCCAGAATAAACAGCTAATTTCTAGGAAAAACTCAGTGGTATAACTGTGCAGGCTCCAATTTCATTTAAATATTGGAAGTCACCCCAATAATGCAGTGAATGCTCTGGACCAGGGGGCTCTAGGTGGCTCTAGGCTGGAAAATTTCAGCCAGAGCCAGGTGGCCAACAAAGCCTCCTCCAAGCAGTTGCCTTGGACCAAGTGGAACAAGGGGACCAGTGACGGGGGACGGTTCCTCCTGGTTCTCTACTTCCTACCTTGAACTCCATTTCCTATCTCATTTGAAGGAATGACCCTGCTTTTAAGAACTCTTTGAGGGCGGGGGATTTAGCTCAGTGGTGCTGCCGCCTGCCTCGCAAGGGCAAAGCCCTGAGTTTGATCCCTGGTCCAAAAAAAAAAAAAAAATTATAAGAGCTATTTGAAGCTGGTGCTTTCAGTGTAGATGCTAGTTAGAACCCCACCCCAACAAATGTCTGGTGTAAATGACTCCACCAGAACCTTTTTTAAAAAGCAAAACACTCACTGGTACATTTTAGATATACATAATGATGACACTCATCTTAAGGAAATTGCATGGGCACATGCTATATCCTACCTCTTGTTTTTTTCCTCTCCCCCACCATACCCCTCAAGTCCCACTCCCCTCCCTGTAAGCAAAAGCTTTGTTCCCACTTTTTCCTTCGATTTGTACTGTTTTTCTTGTCCCTTTCTTCCTTCCCCCCCTGCCTGTTCCCCTTCTCATTTGAACATTTTCTTCCCATTTCCCAATATTTATTATACATTTTAGTCCTTATTTCCACTTTCAGCTTCTCACACCAGAGACACAGTGTGGTATTTAAATGTGTATCCAATTTATTTCATTTTAAGAGTATCATCTCAAGGTGCGTACATTTAGCTATAAATGTCTCAAGCTCTTCTGTATGGCAGAGTAGTACTCCATTGTATAAAAAAATCTTTTTTATCCATTCGTGGATTGATGGGCATTTGAGCTATTTCCAAGACTTAGCTATTACAAACTGTGTCGCTGTTAACATGGGTGTGCATATATCCCTGTGGTTTGATGCTTTTAATTCTTTCAGGAAGATACCAAAGAGGGAAATGACTGGATCAAGTAGAACCTCTAGTTTTAGTTCTTTGAGGAATCTTCACATTGATTTCCATAGTGGCTGTATCAAGTCTACACTGCCACCAACAATGGAGAAAGGTTCCTTTCCCCACAGCCCCTCCAACATTTGTGTTGGTTGATTTCTTGATAACAGCCATTCTTTCACTAGAACCTTTGACAGGTTAAAACATTGTATTTTGTCTTCCTTTCCCTCGTTTATTCCACTTTACTCCCACCAGTGTCTTTGCTGACCCTAGAGCAGTTACTACCCTGAGGGCCTGGGACTTATTACTCCCCCTGCTTAGAATGTCCTTTACCCAGACATCTACATGGTAAGCTACCTCCTTTCTTTATGGTCTTTTCTCAAAAGTCACATTCTCAGTGATGTTTTCTCTGGTCTCTCAATCTAAGAATTTTATATACCAGCAGTGTTCATTACTTTTCTCATTGTTGAGACAATACCTCACACCCAAAGTTAAAGGAGGAAAGGTTTATTTAGCTCACAGCAGAGGTTTCAGTCTGTAATCAACAGCCTCCAAGGCTGGGTGGCATGGCAGACAGGCATCTGAGAGGAGAAACAGTTCATGACAAACCAAAGACAGAAAAAGCATGCAAGCAAGGGACCCTTTACAGGGCCTTTCTGCTCTGTCTATTTTACCCAGGCTACTTAGGACCGGTAGCACTCACACCCTTAATCCTAGTGCCCTTGAGCCTAGCATTGCACCATGAATCATTTCTAGCATCACACACTCCATACCCAGCATCTCTGGAAAAACCTCACCAATGACTGCATGAAGTTTGGGGAAAACATCTGGACACAAGCCATATCACCAGCCCACAATGCAATGCCTCAAGTCCTCCATTTACACTTTGCTTTTTCTCCTTGACATGGATCATCAACGTACCCTGTGGGATAGGGATGTAGCTCAGTGGTTCCACTGCCTGCCTCCTCGAAAGTGCAAGAACCTGAGTTCAAACCCTGGTACCAAAAAAAAAAAAAAAAA